TAAAGGTGAAGACTACTTGTTGATATGAATCTGTTTCTCTTTCTGATACTCCTTTCTTGTCTCTGTGTTCAGAAAGGTAGTATCTAGTTCTAGTGCTGGCAGTGTAACTTCTAGTGTAAAAATCCACAGTGCTGGTTATTCTGTAGCACTGTTAAAAAGAATTTATCTTCCTGTTTGCAGTTAATGAGTTTTTCCTTGGTCAGGAATCCTGTTTTGTCTAAGAATGTGAAACTTCATGTTAACACAGGGAATGCCAGAATTGTCTCTCTTCCTTTCCACCTCCCCCAGTCCTCCTCACACAAATTATAGGAAGTTTTCTCTTTGCAATACACTAAGTTGACAAAAATCCCACCCGTGTAGAATTCCAGTTCCTAAAGCAACCTGCAAAGGGGAACTTGTGTGTAATTCTGATTCACGTATTACCAGAGATGAGTATATTTGATATCTTATAACTGTGTCAAGAGATTGCATAAAGTTAAGGACAGAAGTAAAACACACAAAAATAGTAGAAGCCATTATCTTAGTGGAATAATTACACTTCAGAGCTGCGCAGAAGGGGCCTAATTCTTGTAAAATAGTGATGCCAAGGTGGTGCTGAAGTACCAGCATGCCTTTCTACACAGTAAGACAGTAGCAAATGCAATGATCTTTAATAAATAGATTGGAAAGACTTGGTCAAGGATGGTTGTAATGAATGCTGTCTTGTCCCATAAAAGGAAATGGTCTCCTCAAATTAATCCAGATATTTGTAGGTTTTGTAAAGAATACTTTTTCTATTTGAAGAAAAAAAAACCCCAATAAAACCATTAATTTGCTGCTGAAAAGGTAAAAGAATCAAATTTCATGATTGATTAGTCTCTTTTGAAATTCTGGAGACAGAAAATTTGACTCCTGTATCTTCAGTATGCCCGAGTTGAAAGTAGCCAAGCTTCTGAATGTAAACTGCCTCCTCCTCATGGAAATGCCCTTTTGCATTTTGTTATGAAACCAGTGCAGTAGACAGGATGTTTCTGTCGAGGGGTTAAACAACCTAATTTTACCTTACATATTTCTGTTGCTTTAACTATGGCTTCCAACTCTGATGTAGACAGTTGTGTACGAGTAAACTGTATCCTTTCTAATGAACTGGTACGCACCGATAACAAGTGCCATACGTATAAAAATGATGATTCTTCTCTGTTTTTTGCTGTGCCAAAGCGTTCAAGCCTACTCCAAGGAGCCAGTGACGACTAGGAGTCACCTGGAAGAACAAAAATACGGAGGAGATGTCTATCCGTGTGTGACAGTAAGGACTAGTGAGTATCCCCATGATTCATATCTGTTCCACTTTGTAGGTAGACTTCAAATCAAAACAGGGCATTTCCTTAAGTCTCAAAGGTATAGATTATGCTAAAAAGATTTGTCAGTGCTAGTGTATCATTAATCTGTGTCTATTTATAAGGTAATCTAAATCAGCCAGCAGGTTTATGCTAGTATAGCTTATGTCAGTGCTTAAAATGAAATGAGCTGTCTCTGGAAAGAAAGGGGAAAAAAAAGAAGGGGGACCCCCCCAACCATAGCTAGTTATTGGCTAAAATGGCTTTGTAAGGTTTTTGTTGAAGTGAAAAAATTTGTTTAAAATTGTGCTTGAGAGACATTACTGTACCGGTGATGTTTGTAGCTGTGGATGTAACTCTGCACGGTACAGGAGAACTTTGCAGTACCTGGCTGTTTGTACTAGTGGAGGGTGATACTTTACTGTGCACCCTTAGATGCCCGTTACTCAGACTTGTGGCTGTGTGTTAGTCTTTAATCCTTTTTTAATACAATATATGACTATTTCTATGATAGCAGAGCTTCAAAACCAATTAAGCTGATGGCACAGTACCACTGTTTATATCAAGTTAGCTTCTTTTGTAGATCATGTATAGCGAGTTGAAGATACTTAACTACTGAAGGTGACCTTAGTTGTCTTCTGCAAAGTGGGCTAGTTAAACTGGTTTGCTGCCAAGTTATTTCCTTTTGTACCAGCAGTGTGCTGTAATACCGTGTGTTCATGTGTACACATTTAATATTGCCCCAGTCTGGTTTTTCTCCTTGTCCCTTAAATAATTTTTCATCAATACTGCTTTTTACCTTTCTGTGACTTTATTATGCAATCATATGGGTTTTGAAATTATTTCTGAGCAGGTGCTAGAATTTGGGGAAAGCTTGTTTTGTCATGGAAAATGACAAGCTATTCTTCTGAGCCTGGAGGAGCATCTGGTTTTGCAAAAATCACTTGTTTAGTCAAGTGTGCAATCTAGGTTTTAAAACTTAATAAATGCCCTGCTTCAGCTCTCATACACATGATATTCAAAGTTCAAACTGTTTGCCAGACTTCAAACTTCCTAACCATAGAGTCATCATTAAAAGTTTTTTGGTTTTTGGATGTTTTTTAATTTATCACCCGGAAACTGAGAGCTACGTACATCTGATGGTAATTGAAAGTTGCCTTCTTGTTTTCATATTACTGCTTTTCTGTGCAGGTATCAAATGTGGAGAAGTTTGCAGCCCACAGTGGTCTCAGAGAAGTGATGTGATCAGGTAAAGTCTCTTCTTTGTTTCGGCTTTATGTGCATGTCTCTTTCAGCCTCCAGTAGTGTCCAGAAGATGACAAATTGTATTTATTGCCTCAGTGCTGTGGGAGAGGAGTAGCTAGCTTGTGGCTCTAGAACTGCTGAATTGCTCACAAGCCAGTTGCATCTCAATACAGCTCCCGTGCTAGAGCCGCGCCGTGTGACAGACAGGGTTGTGCTGGTGTGGTGTTTTCTGGGTCCTTTGCTGTGGGAAGAAAATCAGTGAGGGTGAGTGGTGGCCCTACCAAGCTATCCTTGGATTTGCAGAATCCGTTTTTGCTTGTGAGTGTCTTTCTGCCAAACCATTAATGAGCTGACATTTCATTTCTTTCACTTTGGCACTAGGATCGTAAGTGTAAGGATTAGAGAGCTTGTAAAGCCTGGTGGGACCGAGGCCGTTTTTGTGACTTACAGGATGTCTTGGGTTTGAATATGAGGCCGGAAAGGAAGCATGCAGTTGGGCTGTCTGCCTGTTTGAGAGGCCAGCGCACTCATTTGTATGGGCTGCCTGAGCTGGCAGGACCGTGAGGTCAAGATGGCTTTGCGTTGTTGAGGGAAATGGGGTTTTGGTTGCAGTAAGTGTAGCTACAGGGAGAGATTTTGTATGGCAGTCTGATGCACGCATCTTTCTGCAGTGGCCTGCCCTTGAATGAGAGGGGAGAAAGTGTAGGTGGGAGCAGAGAGACTCGGTTATGGTGGTCCTGGTTTTTAGCTAATTTTGTCCCTGTTCTTCTCCCTGCTTTAAATGCTAGCGCTATATTTAGCTGTGCAACACTCTTCCTGTGCTTAAATTGTCACTGGTTCCCCTGAGCTTGAGGGGAGAGAAGGCAATAAAATAACTGATAGAGTATGATGGGTTCAAGTAAAAGGAACATTTTCTTGCCTTTTTTTTCAGATTTAGCTACCAACTGAAGTCATTTAACAAGGCTCTTACCATGCTGGACTGAAAGCCTTTAAAGCACAATGAGTGTAGGATACCATGAGAGTCTGTTGTAGGTCTCTCTCCTGAAAAAGGGGATCTATGGTGACAATGCAAATTCTTGTTTTTGAAGAAGGGACACATATATGGACAACTTTAATGTCTGTGTATTTGTTTGCTCTTCAGAGTCTGCGTGGTTTTAATGATAATCCTCTCCAAATGGGGATAGTCACTCTCTTGACTAGCCTATAGAAGGCAAGTAAACATCCTGTAGCTGTCCCATTTTTAATTCAATGTGCTGGTCTTAGTTTCTGTAAGCTAACTATATTTGGATGCAAGTATAGTTGTGGATGTTCATGTTATACCTTGCAGTATAACACCTAGCATGCAGTATTTCTCACCAGTAGATCACAAAGCACTTGATAGAGGAAGTGCTGGTTGCTTCCCTTTTTTCCAAATAATGAAACTGATAAAGAGAAACAAAAGGAGTACTGCACATGTAGACGGAAGAAAGTTTGTGAAGCTCCCAGCTCTTCATTCTATCCCTGTCTTCCAGCTACGAAAGAATGGTGCTGGAAGCTGAGATGATGTTGTCACATGTTCATGTGTGCAACTGAAGCTCTAGTCAGAATCAGCCTTGAAAAAGCATTTCTTATCCAGAAGGTGAATTCTTGAGAATTACACGGGACAGTATGGATACACAGCTCACTCCTCTCTCTCTTTCTCTCTGCCTCTCCTCGCAGGTACCACACACCAGCAGAAAATTTGCATGAACAGGGAAGACCAGTGAAACAAGCCGTCGCAGGGGTAGGCTTGTGTTACTCCTTATTTCACTTTTTAGGAATAGATAGCTATTTGAGATCATAGATTTTTGCACTCTTCACTTAACATACTGTTGATTAAGTAATGTATTTGTCCCTGTTGTTTTTCGTGGGGGAAGCAGGAGCATTATTTGATGAGTAGCGCTATCACAAAGGGTTTCCCGCTGCCATCAATTTTGTTTCTGGACTATTACGAGCATGCTGCACTATACTATTTTTATTCTTCCCCTTTAATGTGTTGGGTATAGCTTCAAAATCTTTAGTGCACAGACTTAGTTGACCTGCAGAGCTGTACTACGGTATCTTTAGTCTTGTTTTGTTTTGTGAGATAGGAAGTACATCTCTTTGACTTCAATCTCTGGTCAGGATTGATATAAAAAATAAAATTTTAATCATGGAAATCAGAAATATTAATCTCAATCTCAACTTCATATCTACATTTGGAGGCTTTGATGGCGTTCTTAATGCTAGCCCAACCCAAACTAACTTTCTGCCTCTCTTGCCTCCGTTTTGTTTTGAGTGCAGCCCTACCTGGGTGCACAGTTGGAATGCAGTCATCAACAAAAAATGACTTTGGAGTTTGCTAGTTGGATGTGTGTACAAAAACCCTTCCAGTTTTATACATGAGCAAGATTTTCTGCACTACCCCCCAGCAAACAAACCTGTGCTTGCCTGCTAGCTTAATATCCTTTTGTCTAACAGAGACAGTACGGAGATGGAATCTCAGAAGAGGTGTTACTCCAATTAAACCTGGCACCTGCTCTGTCCAGAAAGTCATCTGCCCTTGATGGGGAAGAAAAGAAATTCCCAAGCTCAGAGAAAACAGCGGAACACTTTTCTCCACTCACAGAGGTACCATAGCTGATGGTCTGTTAGACAAAACAGAAGGCTGTGAAACAGATGCAGGGAACTCCATTTATTATAGGTGCTTCTTAAGGTTTTTTGGAACCTTAAGAACTTGCATTTAACCTGTTACCGAGTATCTGCAGCTGTGACTTCACAGTGCAAAGGTCAGCAATAAAGCTGGTTTTAAGGATTTCATATGCTCCACACACTCCTTCAGTTGTGCTAACCTAAGGGTTTGGGGGGCTTCTGCTACCAGGACAAAAATTAGTCCAGGTTTAACAACAGTCTCCCGCAGCAGCACTAACCTGATTCATACAGTTATATTGGTGATAGAAGCTGCAAATAAGCTTTTGCTGATCCACGGTGTTGCAAGGCTTGTAGGGGACCTGAGCCTCTTGTGTACATCCTCAGGATCTCGCAGAGTCACATACGCACGCTGGGCATGGTTGCACTGCGTGTAACAGTGGTCACGGGAGTTAACTTAGCTATGCTATTCAACAGGGAGTGTGAGTTTAGGTTCCCCTATTTGTATGGATTTTGGCTGCTTTTACTCTTTGGAGTTGCAGTCGTGTTGATCTAATTGAGCACCTCCTTTCTTGCCCGTTGAGGACTGACTTGGAAAAGGCTAGCAAATCCAAAGTTTACGAGTCTGCAGTGTGATGCTCAGTACGAGGAAAACCAGGTGTTTTCTTACTTTGCTAGCCCAGAAACAACCAAGAAGGAGATGCTGTTGCAGATCAGAGTGTTTTATACTAACAGACTTAGTGGTTTATTTGCATTCCTTAAGCAGATTTAGATGGAAACATCCATATTACAACCAGTTGCCTGTGCAACCTGGACTCCTGATTGCCTGACTCCAATGTAGCTGCCTCAGTTTCCCCCTTTGCTGTTACTTCAGTTCCCTTTGAAGTCCCCCGCCTCCAAATTCTTTCAGGCTCCTGACTTAGCTGCCTTGGTATGGAGAATGCCTGCTGGGGTTGGCTTAAACCTCAGTACTGTGAGGGCTGCAGCATCACGTGGGAAAGGTGTTTGCTGCACTTCGTTTTTCAGCTGCTTTGGTGTGTTTGCTAGTCCACGTGTTTTATACCAGCTTCCTTTGTGAAAAGAAGTGGAAGCAAACCTGGGCTCTAAAGTTCAACATTAAGATGCTGAAACAAACAAACAAACAAAAAAATGCTATTGTTAAATTAGCAAAAAACTGGCAAAGCCAGTTGCTCTTTCACCTGAGCTTAATTTACAGGCCTTGTTTCAGCTGAAAGCTGCCCACAGATTAGTGTGCTCCATACTCTGTTTTGCAAGTCCTTCCCCATTTAATTGTTCATTTCAGGCCATGGAGAGAGAGGTCTTTGCCGCGTTTGGCAAAGGTGAGCCAGATGAGATCATGAGCAGTGCCTTCAAACTAAAGGTCACTCGTGAGGACATCCACACGCTGAAGAACCTTCGCTGGCTAAACGATGAGGTAAAACTAGCTGCAGCACAGTGATATTCTAATTCAGCATTTACTTAAAAATACTCCTGCCTAGAAATATCTGTACAGTTCCTATGTTAGGTACGTAAGGACCTACTGTTTCTTGTATTATGCAGCTTCCAGGAGTTAGTCAAGGTTGTTGGAGTGGCTGGCAGGTGTTTTTGTCAAACTGCAGAAGTAACCAAGTGCAAAATTCTCAGAACAAAAGCTGACAGCTGAGGCTGGAGTTCCCTCAGCTGCGTACTTTGGAGGGGGGCAGCAAAGACATGTTGCAGTATTTTTCATTTGGTAAGCTAGTGCCTTATTTTACATCTCAAGTTTACTGTCTGTGGTACAGGTCATTAATTTCTACATGACTCTTCTGGTGGAAAGAAATAAGAAGGAAGGATATCCAGCAGTCCATGCTTTTAGTACTTTCTTTTATCCCAAACTAATTTCTGGGGGCTACAAAGCCGTAAAAAGATGGACCAGAGCTGTGGATCTCTTCAAGCATGACCTCATCTTGGTGCCGATTCACCTGAGAGTGCACTGGGCACTAGTGGTGAGTCAGCTGGCTTTTTATTTAGAATTGGATGGGGAGAAAAAACTAGCAAGAAAAGTCATTTAGGTTTTGTCGTGTGCGCAGCACAAGGTTGTGCTTTGTCTAACAGTCACCTTTTCATAACAGGTCATAGATGTCAGAAAGAAGACCATCAAATACTTTGACTCAATGGGACAAAAAGGGGACAAGATTTGTGAAACTTTGTTGTAAGTAACTGCTCAGTCACTGCTTTTATGTTGTGAATGAAGGTTTTTGGGGATTGTCCCTGTAACACAACTGCAAGTTTTCACATTTCTTGCAGATAATGAAACAGAAATCTTTGATTCGCTTGCTGCAAGCTGTGTGACAGTGACTACTTCTCTAGTCTCACATCGTCCCCTCTGCCCAGGGCTTTGGATGCCTGGATTCTGCCACCTTCCCACTATATGCACAGACAAAGCGTCACTGTCAAATACATGATAGCCCCCTGGCACACACACTGACTTTGTTAGTAATCACTAAAACTGACAAGAGGGAAGAATTCCAGGGAAGTGTTTCAGAATACCAACCTGACTGTAAAAGGATTAGTCTTCTAAGAGGTTTTTAACTTCCCCTTCTTTAAGAGCTTTTCAGACTGAAACTCAGTAATGCTCGTGCCCAAGGGTATATACACTCCTAATTTGTGATCACCTACACGTATACTTCTACTCTTTATTGCTTAACTCTTCTACCCTTTTCTTGTATTGAGACCTTTCCCCCCTACTTGTAATATTCATCCTTTCTACTGTAGTGAGCTACGTAACGTGCTCCTTCTCAGTTTGTCTGTACCTCTTCTGTTCAGTGTTTTAAACAAAGCCACTGTCTTTTCCCTCCAGCTTACCCCAGCAAGCTACCCTCGTGTCCTTACTGTGTGTTACTTGTACTTTTGACATTCTCCTTCAAGACAGATGTCTTGTAGCAAGCTTTTCCAGACTTATCAGCTGCCGTGGCATACACCTCAAATGTAACGGGTACAGTTTTTCATGTTGTGCAAGCCTTAGACGTGGCTGCCACTGATGCAGAAGTTGTAAAAACCCTTAATCCAACAGCTTTGTAAAGCAAGAGCACGAGGGCAGCCCCCCAGAGACAAACCAAGTGGTGTTTTAGTCCAGTGCTCTCCTGAGCAGTGAACAGCAGATGCCTGGGAAAAGGTATAAGAACAGGTCTGCATTGAATAATTTTTTTCCTCAAGACTATTATTCCAGCAGCTGGTGGCTTGGGAACTTCCTCCACCAGAGGTATTAGCCCGAAAGTGTTTGCATTTGTTCTTCCAGAGGTGTACCCCGTATGTGGGGTTAAGGCACACAGTGGTTTTATGGCATTATGGTTCCTTGCTTGGTTTTTCTGTTCCTCCTCTGACAACATGTGATCTGGGGTTTTTCGACCTCTACTAAGCAATGAGCTTATGCTTTTGTGGAAGGCTCTGTTGGAATTGTTGGTCTCATTCTTGACCGTTACCTCGCAGCCTCTCAATGTGTTTGTAAATTGAAGATTTGGATTTTTCCTCCAAATGCCTTAATCCTCTGCTGTGAGGATCCTCTGACATCTTACTGTCCTGCCATTCATCTTCCTGTGATCCTTCAGCAGCTCTTTTTTTGTTGGCCTAAATTAATGAACTGAGTGATTTTTGTTTTGTTTCAAACAGCCAATACCTGCAAGAAGAAAGCCGGGAAAAAAGAAATCTGGAACTGACTCTTTTGGAGTGGACTCTTCATAGCATGGAGTCACATGTATGTTGAGCACTACTTGAATTTGAAATGTGAATGTAACTCCTCGTCACGAAGGTCTTAACGCTTTCTAATACGTCCAAGCCTTTAGAGAATGGCCATAAGCATCTGTGTTCTTATGGTACCACATCAGGCTGCAAGGGGACCTTGGGGGATGAAATCTTGAAGCAATGCCTCTCCGTGCTGGTTGAATACTTTCTCTTTTTTAATTAGTCTGCCACATTAAGGTGAATCTGGCTTTGCAAGTAAGATTTAAAAATCTGTTTAGCCGTTGTCAGAGAACGTAGGCTTCTTGTTTGGAGCACAGATCCCGGCATGTGACAAAGCAAAGGGTTGAGCTGATGTTTCTTAACAAGTTCGCAGTAAAAAGCAGTATCTAAAGACTTGTTTAAGAAACAACACTGCAAACCAAACCTCAAAACACCTTGCAGGGAGGAAGGCTGCTATCCCTTCTCAGCCTGCCAAGAATTTGGATGGTAACATCCAAGTAAAGGAAGCAGAGGGGAGGGATGAGGTGCAGTTAATTGGGTCTATTCCTTGTGTCCGGGAGTGGTAAATGGATTATGCAAGTAGGTTCACGAGTGTCTGGTTAGTGTGTTGCTGGTATCGGGTAACGTGTGCTACTTCCAAATTGCTTTTCTTTTAAGATAGAGGAAAATTCTCCATCTTCTTTGCATTCATTAGGAAATCCCTCAGCAATTGAATGGAAGTGACTGCGGGGTTTTCATGTGCAAATATGCAGACTTTATCTTGAGAGACAAACCAATAACCTTTACACAGGTGAGTGAAGGTTATAAACAGCTCCAGACTTTTTTGCACAGACACAAGAGCCAGAGAAGTTACGCAGCAGCTGTTAATTGTGTCTGGGGCAGGGCCTGGGGTTTTGTACCTCTCCAGTTTGGGTGCATGGTTGCTGGGGCTGGAACTTCAAAGTGGCCTCAGCAGGGCAGAGCTGCATTCTCCATCCTTACGACTGGTATCTGCTTCCTAGTTGAATCGGTGAGATTCCTCTTGGGCGAGATACTGCAGCCAGTGGGTCTGTGATATCTGGCCTCTGTATCTTTTGGAGAAATGGGTTTTAACCCTTTGACCAGTTAAGACACTGGTTATTTCCCAACTCAGCGGGCTTTTATTAAAGTGCTTGTAAGCTGTTGTGTAAATCTGGAGCTGCGTGGGTGAAACCCATGTTGTACCCAAATGGCAAGTGTTGCCAGTTCTTAAAAGGAACTTCATATTAAAGAATTAACTGGGTTCTTTATGCATATTTTCTGCCTCTTTCTGTGGTGATGTTATGTTTAATGGGTTTTTCTTTTCTTTTCAGAATCACATGCCTTACTTCCGCAAGAAGATGGTGTGGGAAATAATCCATCAGCAGCTGCTGTGAGACATGCACTATTAGATTAACACTGTGATCACCTTGGGGTGACTAACTCTTATTTTAGTTACTTTTCTAATACTTTATTTGAAAAGGCAGCAGGCACACAAATTTTCCTGTTTAGGCTATGAAGTAGTGGTTAAGTTTGGGGTTGGTTTCCTGCTTCCCCCCCGCCCCCAATTTTAGAGACAGTAACTCTCTTTGAGATTAGCTAACGTACCTTAAGTGCAAGCCGGAAAGATTGCCGTGACCTTGCCAACGGAACGGTTAAGAAGAAATGCCATGAACCTCCGTCACTGAGGTGGACGCTCATACCTCGCAGCACATGTGGCCACATTACGGACAAATGGGACTCTCACCTGAGGTGGTGGTAACAGTTGTGTCACCTGAACCGATTTTCCCAAGGACCATGTGCTTAGCTACTGTTTCCTCAAGGAGAGTTTTCTTCTGTTTCTGGAATATCTCTGATCTACTTGATTCCCAAAACTGGATTTGTGATGACCATAGAAAGAAAGCATTTACCATCTTTTGATTTGTAACAAATCCATAGTGAAGCCCCTGTAGCTGGGGTTGGTTTATTGTTGGTTTGTTTCTTTGTTGTTTTTTTTTTTTTTTTTTCTTCTGTCTCCAGGGAGTTATCTAATGTGAAAAGAGAAGTATTTATTTCTTTTTATTAAAATAAATAAGTAACTTATATAAAAAGCCTTACTGGAAAGAAACTACCTGGTAATGAAATAGTGATTTTTTTTTTTTCTTTTTTTTTAATTGAAAAAAAACGTTGATGTATCAGTATGGTTTTTAGCTCACTTACAACCTGCGAGGAAGAAGACTCTAAGCCGGGATGACTATCAGAAAACAAAAGCTTCTAAAGCGATTGCCACACAATCCTGGAGGGGCAATCAGGATGTGGCACAATCCCGGTAATACGGGGGTAGGAGATTTCTCTTTGGGGTAACTCACACAAACAAAGCCTGTGTGCACAGCTTGGCGAACAACGGGCTGTCCGCTACTGGAACGGGTGTCTCCATGCAGTATTGCAGCATACCACTGCGGAAGCGGAGTAAAATGCATGTCAGACTGTTTCTGTAATGGCATAGTTCCCATACCATAAGGGGATTCCTGACTGGTGATGAGGTATCTCCTCTCCTCAGCTCTGGGGGCAAGATGGGGATTTTGAGGATATCCCCTCTGTCACTGGGGGTGCGATCAGCCTTCGGGGTGCTGCTCCTTGCCTGAGGATCGGCTGATAAGGCGGTTTATCTGTGTTGTGGGGCAGCAGCTGCATCAGTCTTTGCTTTCAAACTGATTAGCTTAATCCATCACAGAATCAGAGGAGATTCTCCAAAGAGAGATCTTCCCTGGATCCCTGAGGACTTGGAAGATTTTAGCCGTTGTTTAACACTGGGATGCAGTAGCCGAATGCTTTAAGTATCCTTTCCCCTTAGCTTTGGTTCTTGCCCTTTGGGGATGCAGTTTTGAGGCTGACCTTGCAGGCTGTGGATTCTGAAAGTAGAACTTTTCTTTTTGGGGAAAAAACAACAACAAAACACCCCTGCTGCCGTAAGGATGCATTCCAGGTCATCCTTGTACATGCCCCTCAAACAGAGGGGGCTTGGACGTTGGATGGAGGGAGCAGGATGACGCGGCCATGAACAGCTTGCCTAGATGTGCCACCAGCCGGTGCATTCCCTGTCCTCTGCCAAACCAAAAAGCACTTCTGCGGCATCAGCCCCCTTAGGGGCTGCCTGCACCCCTCACCTGGAAGTGCCCGTGTGGTTCTGGCTGCTGAAAGCCTCCGTGGAGGAGAACTTGTACCAGTCGCATCCCCGCTGCCTACAAGGTCACCGCGTGGGCTCTGGCCCTTCGGCTCTGGCTTGGGTCCCCGTGAGACCACCCCATGGGGAGAAACAGCCCCTCAACACTTGGGCTTTGGGCGAGCAGGTGGGTGCAGGACGTGGAGGGGCTCAGACAGCGAGTCGGGGTCAGACCCGTCTGCGCTGTGTCCCCCAGCGCCACGCCGGCCCTGGGACGGCAAACGTGAAAACTGCTCCTCTCTTTGCTTGTGCTGTAGGTGGGGCAGGGACTGCTCTCCCTTCCCTGCACCCTCCCAAAACAGGGGCATGACAAGTGACGTGGTCCCCCGAGGCGCCCTCCCCGGTGGCAGTGTGTCCCCCATGGGTGGGAGGGAGGG